CTTGCTTTTTGTCTTAAAATATGGTCTTTTAATAATGTCAAATGTGTTACCAGATTAAATTCATAACATTCTGTCGCTTCTCTAGCTTGAGCACTCCTGGGTTGAATATAGCAGTGTTGGGGGGTGGGGGGGGTGGGGGGGGAGGAGGTCCACTACTGGGTTGGTCATGTTAATCACTAAAACTTATTAATGACATCAGGTTAAAGGCATAGGAATGAATTGGTGTCACTTGACATTTATTTATTAATGATATTTATTAATGCACCTTTTTCCTTCAAAATACACTGCTTTATCATACAGTTTGAGGCAAATGAGTTCTTCTAAGGTGCTATATTTTAGCAACAGGTGATGTAAGCTACCCCAGCCTGGAGAGAAGCCTTGGTGCTAATTTAAGTATGATCCTTTGACAACTTATCACACAGACACATGCTCGTGCTGGTAAGATTAAAGTGTTTTAGTTAAGTTTTAAAACACCTGTTTTGCATTAGGACAAATCATTGTGTTAAGACCCAAGATAAGATAAGGGAATATTCTTTGAAAACATTCCAATGCTGAGAGAATTACTGAATGGGCCCTCTTTTAGGAGTCAAAATGAAAGTGTACTCAAGTAGAATATGATCAACAAATTATGCAGTCTTTTAAAGGTAAGCAGATCAATTTTGAGCAGATTTTACTTTCAGAGAATATTTGGTGTGGTAATTGTTCTAGGGTTGCTAAAGAGTTATAAAATGCATTGGCTTGCCATGAAAACTACCATCTTTATCAAATAAATAATGGATGGATTAATTGCATGTCAACCCAAGTCTCATGTTTTCATTAATGTTTGGCTGAGGCAGCAGAAATAGAAAAGTATTGATTTTAGTGTGAAATCAATTTGGTAATTCAGTGACAGGTAGAGGATTTGCGTATCCTGACTTGACTATGGTGTGCTGCCTTAACAAACATGACAAACTTTTTTCATGAATTGAAGTGAACAGCAGCACAGCTTGTTTTTCTTGATTTATAGATTGTTCATCAGTTTGTTTGTGTACTGCAAAAACTTGAAAATTTTGTCAGAAGATGATTTTTGCTAATGTATGTGTGTGTTTTGGAGGGGGGGGNCTCTGATCCTCTAGTTCAGAATTTGGTTTGATGATTACCACTATATTGAAATCCTTGGTGGTTGAGGAAAGGGAAAAGGCGTTACATGTTATTATCAGAAAGTTTTAATTAAAAAGGGTTTTAGTTGTAACTCGAAGAAGAGATGTTTGATTGCAACCTCCACCGTCTCACCTGAATATGTTATGCCCTTGTTATGTACCTACTACCAATTTTTATACACAGGCGCAAAACTGTGTCTGCATATGTCACAGGCAATATTGAAATCCAGACAAGTTTAGAATCTGCCTAGGCAAGATTGACATCCAAAGTCACAGACAATTTTAGATTATGAATAGATTAATCACATCCATAATAAGCATTTTTACTTATAGAATCTATTGTCAGTAACATCTTTTATTAACTAACTTGCACAGGGGAAAGTATCTTGTATATGGGAGAATACAAAACATTTTAATTTAATTTATTTGCCTTACATAGGGATCTTATTGGGCTGCATGTCATTCTGGTATGTACCTTGACAAACATTTTAGGATAGGTCACAAAGGGGCCGAGGAAGAAATGATTGAATTTTGGTAATAATTAATAATTTTATAGTTAATTAATTATTTGTCCCAATTGAAATTGCGATCTCTGAGTGCTTTTCTAGTTCTACGTGAAGTACTGGTATGTATTCGGTATTTGTCAGTGAAAAAATATGTAAATCTACAGTGTGACATACCTTTTTAGAATAAGAATAATGCTAAAAAAAGTTTTGGTCTCATCTTCACTGGAAATACAGCCATCTGTATCCTATCATGTTTGATAAAAACCAAAAATACCTCTAGAATTACTTTCTGTTTGATTAGCTTTTCTATTATCCTTATGTTTTTCATACATGGCTTAACATTGTAAGGTTGATAGGTTTGAAAACAGTGTTGAAACTAACTGTGACATGTTTCATTACTTGCTTTTTGTCTTAAAATATGGTCTTTTAATAATGTCAAATGTGTTACCAGATCAAATTCATAACATTCTGTTGCCCGTCTAGCTTGAACACTGCTGGGTTGAATGTAGCAGTGTTGAGGGGGGGGGGGTTCACTACTGGGTTGACATATCATGTTGATCACTAAAACTTATTAATGACATCAGGTTAAAGGCATAGGAATGAATTGGTGTCACTTGACATTGTGAATGCACCTTTTTTCCTTAAAAATACACTGCTTTATCAGACAGTTTGAGGCAAATGAGTTCTTCTAAGGTGCTATATTTTAGCAACAGGTGCTGTAAGCTACCCCAGCCTGGAGAGAAGCCTTGGTGCTAATTTAAGTATGATCCTTTGACAACTTATCACACGGACACATGCTCATGCTGGTAAGATTAAAGTGTTTTAGTTAATGTTTAAAACACCTGTTTTGCATTAGGACAAATCATTGTGTTAAGACCCAAGATAAGATAAGGGAATATTCTTTGAAAACATTCCAATGCTGAGAGAATTACTGAATGGGCCCTCTTTTAGGAGTCAAAATGAAAGTGTACTCAAGTAGAATATGATCAACAAATTATGCAGTCTTTTAAAGGTAAGCAGATCAATTTTGAGCAGATTTTACTTTCAGAGAATATTTGGTGTGGTAATTGTTCTAGGGTTGCTAAAGAGTTATAAAAAGCATTGGCTTGCCATGAAAACTACCATCTTTATCAAATAAATAATGGATGGATTAATTGCATGTCAAACCAAGTCTCATGTTTTCATTAATGTTTGGCTGAGGCAGCAGAAATAGAAAAGTATTGATTTTAGTGTGAAATCAATTTGGTAATTCAGTGACAGGTAGAGGATTTGCGTATCCTGACTTGACTATGGTGTGCTGCCTTAACAAACATGACAAACTTTTTTCATGAATTGAAGTGAACAGCAGCACAGCTTGTTTTTCTTGATTTATAGATTGTTCATCAGTTTGTGTGTGTACTGTAAAAACTTGAAAATTTTGTCAGAAGATGATTTTTGCTAATGTATATGTGTGTTTTGGAGGGGGGGGTTAAGAAGGGTTTTGAATGCTTGAGACAGTAAGGATATATTCTGGTTATTGCAAGAAAGGAGGGTGTTCTAATTGTTTCTTTTTGTGTTGGGATAAAATGACACCTGCCAACTTTCATGCATTGATTGTTTCAGAAGGGAAGCTTCATTTTAATGCTTGACTTTTTTCTGGGGTCTGTAAAAAAGTGTTTTATGCTTGTTATTTTTCTTAATTTCTGTTTCAAATGTGCAGCTCAATTTAGCTCAATTTAGGAGTATGACACTGAAATTACAAGAGCATTTCATATGTGTAATAATACCCTGATGAACCAAGTGAACCACTCTGGTTTTGTATGAAAACACTGCCAAGGTGCTCCTGAGAAGTGTCCATGAGTCATGATCAAGTGAAGTGACATTCCTCCAAACCAGAGACAAAATGTGGAACTGTCTTCGATGATGGGATTGTGGCAGGATAGAGCAGTTAACCCCTGTATTAAATTGCAGGACTGCTTGTCAAATGTATAAAACACAGTTACTTTTGAGTATCTTTTGTATGCTCTTCATTAAACCAATGAGCCTAATCATGGCCAGCATGCTTCAGATTTTCATCTCTCACAGGATGTTTTGTATGCTATGTGGTTGATTTACAGATAAATTTAGTAGATAGCCACCAGGGCAATTCGCACTACTTGTTGCTAACCTTTCTATGGGGAATGATTTATGATGCACTCTGAGGATGCTGTGAGGTTATTGATGTAGATCTCCATGTACTTCAGATTGTCAGAATGTTTCTGAAGGTGTCTGGATGAGGACACAGAGCATGTGGCATTAATTGCTTGTCCTTAATTTGTCAGTTTTGATTTAAATGGTCATCTCAGGTAAAGTCCAAAAATGAATATATATATTTTACAAAATCTTGGTGCAGTGAAAAATTTGTTCTGAGTATGAGCATGTATATGAAGGATGGAGTTAATTTAAAAGTATTTCCTATTATGGAATGGTGTTAATGATCAACAGGCAAGTGTTAATAGTGAAATACTGATTATCCACGAAAAAGCAAATTTGTGTTCAAGATTTGTTGACTTGATCTTCTACATATATATAATACATGTCATATTGAACTTTGTCTCCTAGTGTTGTTAATCATATGCACTAATCTAACTTCACAGTGAACATTGTACCATTTGACGCTGAGCAGGTACTAGTAGTGTGTTGGGTGTCTTTCTAGATTTCAATATAGAGCGTTAAGTTGTGAAAACACACTCTTATTGATTACTCTGAGTCTGGAAGCTTTTTATTACATAGTGCAAATTTCAGTTTTGTGATATGGATTTTAGATTTATGATAGACTTCTATTACCATCACTGTTGTAATTGAATGGCTAGAATTGTTATGGTAAGTGTTAACGTTGTAACTGTCAAAAGAAAATATTTAATGTGCATTCGCAGCTTATTGGTTTCATCATTATACCTATACCTAGTTAGACATGACAGTCATTAAAAAGAAGAGTTAAGTTTTTTCTTTACCAAATAATGCCCTGTTTTCTTTGGAAGGGTATAAAGTCCAATGTGCTTTTGATAGGAGTAGTGATGAGCACCACAGGACTGATTTTAATCTGTCAGTGAAAATTAAAGCTGATCCAGTCGTTGAAAGTAGACCTTGGACCTCGATCCTGATTCTGCAAGCTCAAATCATTTTCTTCCCAGTTGTGAGTTTTGGAGTCTGCCACTTTTCTGCTCGGGTTCAGAAATAAATTGCAAAGCTGACAAAATATTGGATGCACATGTCTGTAGAGGTGTAATAAGACTGATAACGTAGTGAAGAAATCATTTTAAAACAATGTTTTTACCTATTTTAACTATAAGATTCACCTTGATATATATAGAAATTAATGATGTATGCTCTGTTCTCTTAAAGCAGATTTGTTTGAAATTAATTTCAATTCCTATCATGATTGTTATTACTAGCAATGTGCTTCGGGAATGTCTGTAGTCTACTATCAGCTGATTTTGTTGTTTTTAATTTTGTTCCTCTATCAATGTCTTTAAGTGGTAGTTAGGGTCTCCATGGGGAGTTAACTGTAGCGAGAATGAAATAACTTTCATAGACCTTCATAAATGTTTTTTGAATTAAGCCACTACTGCTCCGTACATGTGGCAGTCGGGTTCACTGGCGGCTGTTGGTAGTAAGGGTTTTATACAGTAGGCAGACTTGTCAAGGCACTTTAGTATAAGGATAGGAAATAAAGCCTAACCTTAACTAAATTAAAACCAAAAGTCTGGTCTATTTTGACTGAAGATTGTGTTTCCAATCCAGCCGCTCAAGTAAGTCAAAGTGGGTAAGCTCCAGTCCAGTGTGTTTAGTCTACTGTTGAATTCTACTGGGCAGACTTCTCCTTTTGTTATTGAGCCTGTGGCAAGCAAGTATAGCAGAGACACTGACATAACAGTAGTTCATTGCCATAAGTCAGGTAAACATCCAGCTTGCTTTTGATTCTATATAATCAGCATGCCTGTGAAGTCTTAATTTATTTACTTTCAACAGGACCATATCAGTGAAGAAAGCTTTTTATATACAGCATGAGTATGTAGCCACGCCCATTATGAGAGCTAGGCAAGTAGCTGAAGAAGTTTCTGCAGAGTGTAATCTGTAGGTCAGTGTAATACCAGAAGTTAAGTGTCCAGTTCAATGGCCATTGATGTAGATTGTACTATATAGGTCATCAGTGGCAGTGTCCAGATAGAACATTGCATCCAAGATCAGAATATATCCCTTTAGTGGTCAGATAAGGTGTTAACACACTTTCACTTGAAACAGTCCTCAGTTCTGTCTTGAGTGTAAATTAAGTGATCAAGAGGAGAACATTGATGATGCAGAGGATGGGACAGTGCTGTTCTAATATTTGATACATACACATTTGTTACAGCTTAGCATAATCAAACCAAGATCTGGCCTGGATGGCTCTAAATGGATTTGTGTGAACACAGTACTTTTAAAAGACTTCAGACAGGGTCTAGGGGTTGTCTGGTGACTGCTGTGCCATGAAAATTGTAGATTAGAGAACACTTTGTAATATTATCGTGTCAGAACTAGCTGACAATGTTATACTGTTACAAAAAAGTGCTTTATACCAGCTTTTAAGTTGAAACTAATTGGATCACTTGGGGTATATGAGACAGGTGGGAGAACCTCTTCATGTGACTTGTAATGTGTGTGTGTGTGTGTGTGTGTGTGTGTGTGTGTGTGTGTGTGCGCGCACGCGCGCACTCTAAGAGGGGAGAGGAGATGCTTGTTAAAAACCAGTGCTCGCACTATGTGGAGACAATATTAATGACATTTGAGTAATCCAACAAAGTAAAAAACATTTATGACTAGCAACGTAAAGTTCTGTTGTCTGGTCTGGACAGAGCAGGAGGGTTTAACTACTGGCAATGTTTGGTTTGATTAGTATCGCACATGTTTGAGGTTTACTGTGGTAGAGTCACTGAGTTTTCTCATTTTTATGTACAGACACAGATGTGTCTGTACATATTGTTTTATGTCCAAGTCTTAATCTAAGGGGTTCTATAATGGGCATTAACATAATATTGTATGAAAGTGCATAGAAATGGTTATCTTTGTTTGAGATGATGATTGAAGGTGTGAGTTACTGTATTGTGAGAGGATTCTTGCTAGTATACGTTTTATTGAACAGAATTACCCTTGTTGCATTGTAAAAGATACAACAACACTTAAATTAAAAAATTTTCTTCACTCAAAGTAAATTATCCTCATCGACAGTGTATGTAAATTTTTTAATGCACATAGCCTGTGATTAGCCTTGTTGTTTAGGTATCAGCAGTGCTTTGAAAAGTTGCCATACACTTCAGTGAAGTGATACACAGAGCCAGTTGCATGTAATTCTTTTATGAATGGACTACTGAGGTGAACTAGCCTTTTTTATGGCAGCCTTATGGCACATAGTTCTGTCTACATGTTAATGCATGCCGTGTGGCTTCTCATGCTGCGGTTTACGTGGTTTTTAACAAACGAGAAAGCATGCATGGGACGATGTGTAGCTGGAAGTATTGAGTGGGTTAGAAGAAAAAGAGTTACGTTGATACTAGGGGAAATAATGTCTTGCAGCTAATAAGGGGAATAAAAGTTTACATAATTTTCGTTTTAGCCAAATATCAGAAACATCGGAGCATAGTCTGAAAGCTGTTGATTGGCCAGACGCTAATCAAACATTTTCTATTGCTTGTCTGATTAAATTGATGTAAGCTGTGGTGAAAAGTTTCCATGCTGCTCTGCTCTGAAAACAGATCTTGCATGCTGAAAAATTACATGGAACTTGTCATTTTGATGGATTAAAAACAAGAAAGGGGTGGCAATTTCTTTGTCCTGATTTCTATTTCTTTTTACCTACCACATCTTTGACCCCAGTTGACATCAATTTAATTTAAAAGTGCTATAAATATGACCCTAAGAGTCTTAATTATTTTTGGTGTGTGAAACCTTGACTGTTGTAGCATATAAGGACACAATTAACCAGAAGTGCAATTCATTTACCTGGAATTAATGACTCATTATGTTTAATTTTTGGAAAAACAGATTTGTACTGGAATGGGATGCCTCAGCTGCTTTGTGTGAACTTTGCAGTTCCAATTGTTTATAAAAGCTGATATATGTTTGTAAATATACATGTAATCCTTACTTCACTGATAACAATGTGAGCTCGTGAAGGGTTCAAACTGGTACCTATGGCATTGACTCCCATCTTTTCAATGGGAAAATATTGATCTATCTGATAAGTAATTTTGGAATAATTTAAAGCATTCGTGGTGCTTTTAATGGATAGAATAGAACTGTAAGGTACATGGCCTGCTTTTCAATTATATTGCTGCCACCCAGGAGGAATGTTTCAATGTCAAGAAGTTTTACACAACTATGTCTGATTTTTGTCATTGCTTTAGGTATATTGCGAGCTCTGATATCTAAATATATGATATAGCATTTTAACAAATTTCTTTATGACATTTAAAATTATATCTTATAAAAATTAAAATTATATCTTATAAAAAGTGTTGATTGTAGTTTACTTTTAAAAGTAGTAGTACTAGTATGTGAAAATTTAGAGGTAATAATGGAAGGGTACTTACTTCAGTTATGGGAAGTTCACTGCTTATTAGCCTTATGATAAAGGCTAAATATACTGCAGGGCAAAGTGCTATAGGTCACAACTGTTTTACATGTAGGCAAACTATCTCCTACTATGAACTGTTATGTGTCAGGACATGTTTTGTAGGAATGAGGTGTTGTGCATGTTATGTGAACTTTATAGCAATTTCAGCATCAGAGTCACAAGCCTGAGCTCTGTTCACACATATGTGCATGTATACGCGCGAGCGCGCGCACACACATCCACACACCTGGATTTCACGGTGCTGAGATATAAAGTGATTGAGAAGAAATACAGTGGTTCTCAACTTGTTATTCATTATGTTTGTACACATTAAATTTCACTGATTTCAGTTTGTCTAATTGTGCCTTTGTTATTAGTTACAGATCAAGGCCTTTTGTTTGACACAAGAACCAAGGCAGTGATGGCCCAACCAGCGCAAGAAGGAGTGAAAGAAAAAGTGAGTTGTACCCACTGCTTTATGGGCACGGAAATTTTAAGTGAAGTGTGCTTAGAATGACATTTGAAGAAAATAATTTTTGTTCTTTATAGAATTAAGGGATGGGACTCCAAAAAATGTTATTTAATTGTCAGATGTATGTCACATATAGTCATGTTTAGTTGTTTACAACTAAATGGGTTTTTATAAACTTCTTAGAAATTGATGACTTCTTCTTGGCGTTTGTCAAAAATGGTTATCTTTGAATAAGTGTTGAATGTGGTCTTTGTTTGAACAGAAAGAAAACTGCAAATGCAGTTAAATTACATATGACAGCAATCCTAAATCCAGATCTTTTGCGGTCCTCCAGTCTCTCCAATACTAGTACAAGGATCTGGGATGGGGACCATCTCTCATTAATTGTAATTTTGTGCTGTTGAATTTGTGTGATACACACAGATAGCATTCATAGAAAGGACTCAAGTATTGGAAAGATGGCCCCATTCCTAATGCCTGCATAGAGGGATGATTGCAGTGGGGAAGTTGAGTCTGGATATAATCAGATTGATAAAGGAGATGTGAGAGTTGGTTTATTTAGGAAGTAGGTGGAATAACATTAAAATATATTACACGTGGGCTGTTTTTGATTTTCTCTTTATTGTATGATTTAGTATATACATGTATAATTGAATTTATAATTTGTTTTATTGATTGAAAACATGGAAGAGATTTATAGCTGTCAAGAGGCGTGTTTGATGCAAGGATAAATGATATATTCTCTTTAAAGTGTTAAACAAAATTTACATGCAGTATACACAAGTTAATGCTTCTAAGATATACTTAAAATTATCTTATTCATAACATGTATGTTTGCATTTGTATCACATAATTCAGGCTTAATGGAATTTGATGTCTAATTAGCAATTCACTCAGGTAGTTAAATATCTGATCTTGTCTCAGTGTTAAGAAAATTATTTAAATATATTCACACCCAAGTCTAACATGAAGAATTTGTACATGTACAGCGTTATTTATTAGACTGAAAAAGTTTTTATAGTAGTGAATATTTTAGCTTCTGTTTCTTCCGTTGATTTGTGGAATGTTACCCGTAAAGTGCAATTTATGGTCTTTAATTTCAACAGGAAGCAAGAAAAAAATGAGGTTATAGTCTAGCTTGTAATGTCTGAAAATGCAAACAGGTGGTTTCAGCCGGAAACTCAATCACTGGGTTGTGCCGAAACAGCAGACAGACCAAGAAAATTGTTATTTTTGATCTGAAAGCTGATAGAAAATAAAAACCAGAAAACTTTCTCCAAAGCAATGAAACTTTGAACAAGTTTTCCAACTGTGAGTGAAATGAAGTTGATGGTTTGAATTTTTTGAAAACTTGTTCATGGACATTTAATTTACATTAAATGGGTGTGTTTCTATATTCCAAGGGTCCTATTACGAAGGTCCACTATTAAGAGGGTCTGCTATTACGAAGGTACAGATATGGCACAAACAGCACAAAGATAAATTAAATGTACTTCTTAGACATGGAGGTCAGAGCCCTGATAATGCAACTAATACAATACATATTAGTGCAGCTATCACATCAATAAACTTTTTGGGAATAGTGGACCTTCAAGAAAGCGAAACTTGGGAACAGCACACCCTCAAACATTCCGAATTGCAGTTGATATCAGGTCAAAGCTCCTTTAGTTATTCGGAATACTGTACCCTCGTAATATGCTCCCCCCCCTCCATTAAATGAAAGTATAAAGGAGGGTGTGAGGACCACAGAGAATTGTTCTTCCACATTGTTTACAAACTATGTACTTACCCCCTCCCCAACCACACACACACACACACATTAACTTCTGTGTGTGCAAAAAGTATGAAGCAAATAATCTTTTTAAAATGAAACATTTTTATGATTCAAGCAAATTCCCATGCCTATCTTCCTATATTTACCTTTTTAACTTGAAATATGCTAAATATTCAACATTATTCGGCTATGTATGTTGAAAGTCATCAGACTTTGATTGGCTTTTGTGTGATGACTTGTGTCAAAAATCACTGATATTCTTTTTTTCCTTAAATGTTTTGTATATTTTAGATTCAAGCAGTACGTGAAGTGGTGCCAGGCAGAAGCAACAACGAGATCATTCTTGTCCTTCAGTATTATGAGTACAACATAGACCAAGCTATTGCAGCATTTCTTGAAGGTGGGACTCAGAAGGCAACATATTTCACACAGATAATACAATAAATAACAAAGGTTAAATAAAGGCTGGATTGTAAAATTTCCATTGTACCTCAAAAACAGGGAACAACAACAAAAAAGAGCACATCCAACCTTTGTGAAACTTAATTCAAAGTTGACTGTTGCATTAGCTGTGTTACATAAAAAGTAAATATTACTGTGGAGAGGAGTATTCACACTTTCTCTCTGCTCCTTGACAACAGCAGCATGTTGTTGATGTAAACTGTACACTGTATATTATTGCATGCCTTAACTCAAAATTCTGGCTTTGTTCTTTGTTTGGACAAGTGTTAGCAACTAAATCTAGACCTACTGATAGGTATCCCCTCTTGATATATGGCAATATTCCTGTGAATGAATCTTGAATCTCTGTTTGACTACTGAGGAACTGTCAGGTTCATTAACAGTTTTTATCAGGTTTAACTGAAAGCAGAGCTCAAGGTATTAGGTATCATCCATCAGGTGATGCCTTTTTTTTTTTTTTACCCAGTTCGTGAAGAGTATGTCCAGTGTACATCAAATTGGTTTTGTTTGGCTGTTATTCTCATTAGCTTGCCCCTACTCCACAGTCATATAGTACTAGTACTCATAATTAGTAATAAGAGTATATTCTACAATCTATATGTAAACCCTATGGGCTTGTGCTTCGTATGTTGGTTTATTGTTGTCAAGAATTTATGACTTCCCAAACAAGCAGTCGCCGAATAGCTGCAAACCTAATGTTTCCTTTTAATTTATACATTTACAGTAATGTAATAATGCATTAAATGGTTTATGTATTAAATAAATTGTATGGTATTGTATCAAAAATGCATTTGACATTATTCACACACACACACACACACACACACACACACACACACACACACACACACACACACACACACACACACACACACACACACACACACACACACACACACACACTGGTATATGTCTTAATGAAAGGATGTAGTAATGATGTGTTTATACTGCATTAAAGAACACTGAAATAAATTAATGAATAATTAATAGTGTGCACT